ATATATGTTGGTTGAATATTAATGCACAAACAAAACAATTATTGGCGATCGTTCCTTTATGGGTGAGACTTCCTAATCTTCCTCTCAATTGCTGGGGGGTTGGTACTTTAATTAGAAATGGTAGTGTTATTTGGGTGCCCTTGTATGCTGATGAATGTACTTCTAAGCAATTAAGGGTTACCTTTTCTAGATTGCTTATTGAAGTTGATATTACTAAGCCATTGCCTAAGCGCATTTGGGTTGAGAGTCCAGATGGCATTCTCATTGAACAGAAGCTTCTCTTTATATGGTCTCCACCTTTTTGCAAGAAGTGTAATAAAGTAGGTCATGACGGTAGTGTTCCTGCTAAGCCTAAGACTCAGGCTCAGAAGAAACAACCTAGTTTCAGGGAACAGACTAAGGTCTGGGTTCCTAAACAGCCTGCTCCTGCTACTAATGTTCATGTCTCTAATGCTAGTGTGAATGAGACAGTCAATGGTGTTGCTATTATCACTCCTGCTCCTACTACACAACAAGCTACCTGTTTATGATTGGAGAATTGTTAGAAGAAATCATAGAAGTCATAGTGTTTCCCATACTATGCCAGTTTTGTCTAGTTATAATCCTTATTTTGCTTTGTTTGAGGATACTCACACTGATCCTAACGGGGGTGATGGTAATCCCCCTCTGGGAGGATGATTGTTGTCTCTTGGAATATAAGGGGTCTTAATGACCCTAATAAAGTAGCTTCTATTAAGAAGTTACTAGCAGAGCAATATGGTGATGTTTTTGGTATTCTAGAAACTAAGGTGAAGCTGAAGAACAGTGTAAAATTATAGAAGAAATTTGGCAAAGCTTGGTCTTGGTTTTGCAATTATAATAATTCTCATAGAGGTAGAATCTGGGTTGGTTGGTTATAGGACAAGGTGAATGTGACTTTTCTCTCTTCCCATGAGCAGTTTGTTCATGTTGACATTTGTTCTAAAGACTTACAGCACCATTTTCTAGTTACTTTTGTTTATGTCCTTCACTCTATGCATGATAGGGTCCCTCTTTAGGCTAGTATTAGAAACATTAATGTGGCTGCTGATCCTTGGCTTCTTATTGGTGACTATAATTTTGTTCTTAATGATGGTGATAGGTTTAATGGTAATCCTATTACTGATTATGAGGTGAAGCATTTTAAGGATTGTATTGAGAATCTTAAGTTGTGTGAAATCAAGAGTAAGGGTTCTTTCTATTCTTGGAATAACAAAGGCCATGGTGATGATAGGGTTGCTACTAGGATTGATAGAGGTCTGGTTAATCAAGCCTGGATGTCTAGTTACAGTTCTGCTAAAGCTATTTATCTCCCTCCATTGCTCTCTGATCACTGTCCTGTTTTGGTGGAGGTTTGTTCTCATATTCCTTGAAAGGGAAGGCCTTTCAGATTCTTGAACTGCCTTGCTGATCACAAGGATTTCTGCCCTGTTGTTGAAGCTGGCTGGAAAAAAGTGTTTGAGGTTGCAGCTATTACTGATGTTTGGCAAAACCTGAAAACTGTCAGGCAGGGTCTTAAGAGTTTAAACACCAAACATTTTGCAAACATTGTTGATAGAGTGGATCAAGCTAATTCTGCCTTGACTCATATCCAACGAAAGCTTGATGTTGATATTACCAATGTGAATCAGCATTTGTAGGAAGCTGTTGTTATAGAACAAGATAAGCACTCGATGAATATTCAGGAGAATATCTATAAGTAGAAAGCTAGAGTGGACTAGATCAAGTTAAGAGATGCTAACTCTCACTACTTCTTTTCTGTTATAAAGCATAGACAAAGTAGGAATAGAATTGATTCTATTTTTACTCATTCTGATGTTCTGCTGAAGGATTCTATTTTGGTGGAGAATGAGATTGTTGGCTTTTATAAGGTTTTGCTGGGTACTAGAGCTCCCTCTCTGCCTGCTGTTGTTATCCAAACTATGAGAGCTGGTAAACAGATGGACAAAACTACTATGAATATCCTGTCTGTTGAGTTTACTCATTCTGAAATTGATGTTGCTCTAGCTAGTATTGATAATGACAAGACCCCTAGTATTGATGGCTTTAATGCTGTCTTTTTCAAGAAGGCTTGGCATATTATTAAGCATGACATCTATACTGCTATTACTCAGTTCTTTCAAACTGGTGTTTTTTCTAAGCAATGGAGTTGCACTACTGTAACTTTAGTTCCTAAAGTTCAACATCCCTCTTATGTCAAAGAATACAAACCTATTGCTTGGTGCACTATGGTTTACAAGCTAATCTCTAAAGTGCTCACAAATAGGATTGCTCAGGTTGTGGAATCTGTTGTTTGTGAATCCCAAGCTGGTTTCATTCCTGGGAAGCATATTGGGGATAATATCCTTCTTTCTACTGAGCTTATTAAAGGCTACACTCACAAATTTATCACTCCTAGATGCATGCTCAAAATTAATTTGAGGAAAGCCTATGATTCAGTTGAATGGAGCTTTCTTCATACTGTTCTTAAGGAAACAAGTTTCCCTCAAAAGGTGGTTGGTTGGATTATGGCTTGTGTTTCCTATGTCTCTTATTCTATAATGGTGAATGGTTTTCCTTCTAAGCTTTTCCCTGCTCAAAAAGGTTTGAGACAAGGTGACCCTATGTCTCCTTTTCTTTTTGCTCTTTGTATGGAGTATCTTTCTAGGTTCTTGAAAGAAATGACTCATGATCCTAATTTCAACTTTCACCCTAGATGTGAAAATCTTGGAATCACTCATATGATGTTTGCAGATGATTTGTTGTTGTTTGCTAGAGTTGATGTTGGCTCTATTCAGCTTCTTTTGAATGCCTTTCAAAAGTTTTCTAATGCATCTGGTTTGTCTGCTAATCTCAACAAAAGTGAGGTGTATTTTGGGGGTTTACAGGAAACTAAAAAAGATAACTTGCAGCCTATTCTTGGGATGAGCAGAGGCAATCTTCCTTTCAAGTATCTTGGTGTTCCCTTGTCTTCTAAGAAGTTGACCATTGCTCAGTGTAGGCCTTTGATTGAGAAAGTTACTGCAAGAATTGATAATTGGTCTGCTGGACATCTTTCTTATGCAGGCAGATTGCAGCTCATTAGAAGTGTCCTTTTTGGTATTCAAGCTTATTGGGCTCAAATCTTCATTCTTCCCAAAAAGGTGCTTAGAGAAATTGAGTCCAGATTTAGGGTGTTCCTTTAGACTGGTAAGAATACCTATTCTAAGAAAGCTCCTGTTTCTTGGAATCATATGACTCTCCCTAAAGTTTGTGGTGGTTGGAATATCACTCTAATGGGTGATTGGAACAAAGCTACTATTTGTAAGATTCTGTGGGATTTTGATCATAAATCTGATAATTTAAGGGTTAAATGGGTTCATACTTACTATGTCAACAACAAGAATTTTTGGTCTGCAGCCCTAAAAAATGCACTTGGGTTCTAAAGAAGATTCTAGGGTGCAGGGATATTATTGACAGCATTGGTGGTTGGTTGCAGTTATCCACAATGGCAAATTTAGTATGTCTAGAGTCTATTCTAAAATAAGACCTCTAATAGAGGAATAATTGCGTCGTTAGACAACTACACCTAAATCAAATACATTTTTTAACACTCGACTTATCCTAATACAAGTATATGGTAAGAAGAGGGATCGAACCACAGGGAGAAGCACATATACACCGCATTCATCACTAGATTTAAGCTATCTCGGGACAAAGGATAGGAATGACTAAGAGATTAAACTAAAGATAAAACAAGTTAAAATCAATATAACTAAACACCAAGGAAGATGGGTAGATGTAGATGCCGCTTGATCATGCAATAACATAAAAGCAAATCAATAGTGAACTAAACATGCATTAATATCGATGTAAGGTTCAATCTAACCGCCTTCCGGGGTTAATCGGTTTCTCCTATCATAGCCTCTATGTTTCCACACTAGAACCATATATTGGGAGGTGCAATCAAAGAACAATCGATAGTAATGAATCCTAACTAAGTCAACTTCCGTTTCTTGTTAGCAAAGATTCACCTTTATTCAACTAACAATGTTCACTTGTAAGAAGATCAAAGAATATCAAGCATGCAAAGATTTTAATCACAATTAACTTAATCCCAATATTATAAGCATGAACAATTAGCAACTACACCATCCCCACACCCTTGGCTAATAGACTACTCACAAATCATGTTAAGAACAATATCAATCATCAAATCAATAAGCATAAACATGATTAATAAGCAAAGAAGGAAAATCAAAGTAAACAAGCAATATTAAATGCAAAAGTAAAGAGAAAGAGTAAGAGATTGCTCATTAATTGAAGTTGAAGATCTACAAAAGATTAAACAAGCTTCTTCTTCAAAATCCAAGTTCATCAATGAAGAAATCCACACTTTCTCTCTCTACCAAATGAAGACTAATAGTGTTTCTCTCTCTAGATTAAGCAAAAAGTGCAGAAAATTAAAACTAAGTTAATCTAAATTAAATCAAAATGTTCTAAGATGTGACTTATATAGTCCGTACAGAGCCAGCTGAAAAAGAGGAGTGGTCCGACCGAACAATGGGAAGGTTCGACCGGACTACAGGGTAGGTTCGACCGAACCATGGGAAGGTTCGGCTAGTCTACAGGGTAGGTTCGGCCGAACCATGGGTAGCTTCGGTCGAACCTCCCTGATCCTGGTCTGGTCGAACTTCTGTGGTTCGACCACTCCTGTAAAATTGCCAAATTGCTTCTTGACCCTGCCTCGACGTTCAGCCAAACCACTGAGCAGGTTCGTCCACACCCTGGTTCGGCCACACCTTCAGGAGGTTCGGCCGAACCTCTTCTGAATCTTGCTTCCTTCATTTTCCCTTGAGCTTAGCTTCCTCCTCTTGAAAACCCCGATGGTTCCTACAAAGCATAAGCATGGAAATTAAAGTAAAGAGTAGGAAAAAGGGGAAAAATCTAGAAAAGAAGATGCATAAAGGGAAAGGGAACTAAGTGCAAAGAAAAGGATGCAAACAAGCCATAAATGTGGGAAAATGACCATCAAAATGAACCTTAATCGTGGCATAAATGCCACTCATCAACCTCAGACTGATAAAGTGAGTTGGAAGAGACTTGTCTGTATCAACCAAGCTTCTCTTAAGAGTATTTTCATAACTTGGTTGGCTCTACAGAGTAGAATAGTGACTAAGGACAGGCTTATTCAATGGAATATTAACTGTGATCCTTTGTGTTTCTTTTGCCAAAAATTTGATGAGAGTGTTGCTCACTTATTTTTCTCCTATTCTTACTCTAGAGAAATTTGGCAGAAAATCCTTGGTTTGTTGAAAATTCAGAAGATAGTTCAGAGTTTTGATCTTGAACAACAGTGGGCTACAAGGTATTGCAGGAAATCTAGCAGGAAGTGCAGGCTTTATTTTAAGTTCTTTGTTGAGACTGTTCATAATATCTGGTTTCAGAGAAACAATCTAATTTTTAATGGCAGTTGTCAACCTGCAGACTTGGTCTTCAAAGATATTGATTATAGGGTTGTTGTTAGGTGTACTGAATCTGATCGAAAGTTTTTGTATCTGTGATGTTCTAGTCCTGAGTTTGGCTGTTGTTTTGCCTACTTTAAGTCCTTTTGGCTGTTGCAGTTTCAGGCTTGTCTGTCTCTGCTTGTTGCTTTTGTGTGTCTTGTCTAGTCCTTGCTCCCAGAACGCTTCCTAGAAGGTGGCTGGGATTTTGAGTCCAGTTCTTGTCCTTGGTTCTATCTGGCACCCTTCCTAGAAGGTGGCTTGACAGTCTCTTGGATCTTTTGGTGTTTGTGTGGCCTCTTTGGGTCTTGTGGTGTTGGTTGTGAGTTTTGACTTATCTCATTGTAAATTGTAACTTTTCCTCTTTGGTAATAAAATTATTTATTTACCAAAAAAAAAAAGCTAGTTGAATTAAATAAATGTGAAACTCATTCAAATAATGTCTTTTGAATCAAATGAAAGTCAAATGCATGCTAACAAAGCTCTCTAAATCAAATTAAAGTTAAATACATTCAAAAAAAGCTAATTCAATCAAATGAAATAAAAACATATACAAATAAATCTTTTTGAATCAAATGAGAGTCAAATACATTCAAAAAACCTTATAGTGTCAAATGAAAGCAGAACGTATTTAAACAAAGCATTTTAAATCAAATAAAAGTCAAATGCATTCACAAAAATCTAATTAAGTCAAATGAAATCCAAACATATTTAAACAAAGCTTAATGCATTCAAAAATGCTTATTAAGTCAAATAAAAGTCAAAATGATTTAAACAAAGATTTTTTAATCAAATAATAGTGAAACACATTCAAACAAAGCTAATTGAATCAAATGAATGTCAAACACATTAAATAAATAAATGTGTTTGAATGCGTTTTGACTTTTATTTGACTCAATGCCTTTTGAATCAAGTGAAAGTAAAATGCATTCATACAAAGCATTATAAATCAAATGAAAGTCAAATGCATTAAAAAAAGATAATAGAGTCAAATGAAAGCCAAACATATTCAAACAAAGCTTCTTGAATAAAATAAAAGTCAAACACATTCAAATAAATATTTTTGAATCAAATGAAAGTCAAATGCATTCAACAAAGCTAATTGAATCAAATAAAAGGCAAACACAATTAAACATGGGTTTTTGAATCAAATGAAAGTCAAACACATTCAAACAAAGCTTTTTGAATCAAATATGAGTCAAATGCATTCAAAAATGCTAATTGAGTCAAATGAAAGTCAAACTTATTCAAACAAAGCTTTTTGAATGAAATGAAACTCAAACACATTTAAACAAATATAATTAAATCAAATTAATGTCAAACTTATTCAAATAATTCCTTTGTAATCAAATGAAAGTCAAATGCATTTAAACAAAGCAAACTGAATCAAATGAAAGTTAAATGCATTAAAAAAAGCTAATTGAATCAACTAAAATCCAAACATATTCAAACAAAGATTTTTGAATCAAATGAGAGTAAAATGCATTAAAAAAAGCTAATTAAGTCAAATGAAAGTCAAACATATTTATACAAAGCATTTTGAATCAAATGAGAGTCAAATGCGTTCAACAAAGCTAATTGAGTCAAATGAAAGCCAAATACATTCAAACAAAGATTTTTCCCTCAAATGAAAGTCAAATTCATTTAACAAAGCTAATTGAATAAATTAAAGGTAACAAAGCTAATTGAAACAAGTGAAAGTGAAAGTAAATGAAAGTCTAGAGGGAGAAAGTCTAGAGAGAGAGTCTAGAGAGAGAACGTCTAGAAGTAGCTTGAAACCCACAAAATTCATCTCCGATTTTGAGCTTGATTTTCATGGAGAAGATAAAGAAGGGTAAGGGGGAAAGAAGGTTCTAAGTCCAAGAAGAAGCAGGAAGTTAAGCAGAATTCGGGACCTAAAAACTCGCAATTTAACGAAGAGGAAGGAACAGAGCATGGCGTCGGAGGACGTTTATGTTGAAAACTGGCTTAATGAAATCATGGAAAACACTATTTTAGTGAAGGAGGTGGCTGCTGAGGAGTGCGAACAACACCAAGAAAAATTCAATAAATGGTTGAAGGTAATCCATTCTTCTTCTTCTGCCATTAATGTTGAGCTTGATGAGCTTGTTGCATGTTGTGATAGTGTTCTTGGCATAGATAGTACGACCCCTATATTGATGATTGAACCCTATAATTGCACTAGTGACAGGTTTTCCCCAATTTCTAAGAACCTAGATTCTCATTCCCCTGTTTTTCAATCGACTTCCCCTAATTTTGTTACTAGGTTGAATTGGAAGGATAACTTGTTTAAGGGGACTAGGGATAAGGGTTTGGACCTGTCTGGGGGGATCGTGGAGATAATGGTAGCAAGAAGGATGGGAAAATTCAGATTACTATGGCGGAGGTGCAGCCTAAAATTGACTATTGGAAATCTAATCTGGTTTGTCATGTGGTGGCTATGTAGCCACCATGGTTAGTCATTAATGGGTATGCTAGGCGTATGTGGGGGATATATGGAGTGGATAAAGTTTCATTATTACCAAATGGATTGTTCTTAGTTTGATTTAGAACTATTGATGCTCGAGATAGAGTGTTGAATGTAGGGAATGTTTGGTTTGATAATAAACCTATGATTGTTAAGCAATGGGTGCCTGGAATGAATCTAGCTGAGATGCCAGTTGATGAGGTTCCTATCTAGATAAGGTTGACTGGACTTGATAAAGAACTAGAGCTAATCGATTCTAATGAAGTTGGCATCTATAGTTGGTAAGCCTGTAAAGACTGACAGAGCAACTACTATGAAGGAAAGATTGGAGTATGCTATAATTATGGTGTAGGTAAAATTCAATGATGATCTTCCAGAATTTATTGAGTTCCTTGATGAAAATGGTAATATAATGAAGCAGGTGGTGGGGTATGAATGGAAACCTGTTGTGTGTAAGGTTTGTGGTGGGGTAGGGCATGTAGATGCTCAATGTTCCAACTATAAGCTCAAAGCAGGAAGAAGCCAATGTAGAAACTTGTTAGGCAAAGGTATTAGAACCAGCAAGTCTAGAGACCAGTGTAGAAACCTGCTAGGCAACAACAGATACATGAAACTTGGGGTGCTTCTAAGGCTGATGGTCTTGAGGATTATGTGGGGGACCAACAGCTTATACAACCAGGTGTCATCTTGATTAGTAGTAGTGGGAATAGGTTTAGTGTGTTAGAGGAGGGGGAGTGTTCTCACTTATTTGATGGATAGTATAAGAGTTTAGAACGTAAGGGGATTAAACTTACCTTGTAAGTGTTGTAATGTCTTATGGTTTCTAAGCCAACATAGCCTGGGTTTGTTTGGTCTCCTTGAAACAAAGGTGAAGGATACGAAGTTTGGTCAGGTGTTTTAGGCTGGGTAATGATTGGTCTATTATTACTGATTATAGTAAGAACAAGGAGGGGAGGATTTGGTTGGCTCAAGTGTTTAAGGTGAAGGTTGTGGCAGTGGAAACTCAACTAATCACTGTCATGTGGTACATAGAAGTACTAGCATGAATTTTTTCTTCACTTTGGTGTATTGTTTAAATGAGGTTAGTCAGAGGGTGGAGCTTCGGGGCTAGATAGTTCATCTTTCTAAGACTTTGCAGGATCCTTGGATTGTGGGAGGAGATATTAACAATGTTCTCAATTTAGGGGACATGATTGGTTCTACTATCTCTTTTAATGAAGTGGAACCTTTCAGAGCTTGCTTGAGGCAGGCTGGTCTAATAAATTGGAATATTGGTGGTATGTTTTATACTTGGAATAACAAGGAAGATGGGTTAAGTAGGGTTTATACAAGGATTGATAGGGTTCTTGTGAATGAGCGGTCTGATATTTTTAGTACTATGAAATCTACTTTCCATCCAGAGGGTCTTATGGACCATTTTTCTTGTGTAATTAATTTATTGAAGGAGGATCTCATATTAGAAATCCTTTTATTTTCTTCAATATGTGGATTGATGCAAGTGGATTTTATAACGTTGGGAAAGAAGCTTGGAATATTGATTTCCCTAGCATAACTATGTTTCAAGTTGTTAAAAAAATGTCCGAGGTGAAATCTTCTTTGAAAAGCATTAATTTGACAAAATTTCTTGTGTGGAGTCTACTGATAGTATTGCTGAGAGGAAGCTAGTGGATATTTAGAACCAGCTCAATGTTGTCCCTAGTAATACTACTTTGATTTCTCAAGAAAGAGAAGCTAGAGAGGAGTTTCATATTACTCACACTTCCAGATACAAATTTCTAAAGTAGAAAGCTAAACTGCATTGTCTAAGGGATGGGGATATGAATTCTGCATATTTTCATTCTATTTTGAAGAAGAGAAGAATTTAGAATAGCATTTGTTCTATTATTAATGATAATGGGGAAGTGGTGACGGCTCTAATAAGGTATGTGATGCATTCCTTAAGTACTATAAGGGTTTACTTGGTTCTCATGCTTTAGCTAGTGGCCAGGTTCACCCCTTGGTTACTGCTGAGGGGAAGGTCTTGTCTGCAGATCAGGGTGCCAGTATCTGTAGGAACTTTACTAGTGATGATGTGAAGAAAGCTCTCTGGAATATAGATGATGATAAGGCTTCTAGACCTGATGGTTTTTCTAGTAAGTTTTTTAAGGCTACTTGGGATGTAACGGACCCTATTATAATCAAGGCTATGTTGGATTTCTTTGCCCATGGAAAGCTACTAAAACAAATAAACGCTACTATCTTGAATTTGATTCCCAAGGCTACTTGGGATGTAACGGGCCCTGCTATAATCAAGATTGTGTTGTAATGTGGTGTATAAGATTAGTCTCTGGAAGATCTATCCTTGAAAATATCCTTGTGTGCTAGGATATGCTCAGAAACTACAACAATAAAAGGAAACCTCTTAGATACACTGTCAAAGTAGATTTGAGGAAAGCTTATGATTCAATCAGTTGGTGGTTTATGGAAGAGATGCTAAATGCCCTAGGTTTTCCTAGAAAGTTTGTAAACTGGATTATGTAATGTGTGTGTACTCCTTTTTCCTTGATGATAAATGGAGGGATCCATGGTTTCTTTGCTGGTAATAAAGGAATAA